CCCCCTTTTCATTCCTGATTTCTAGGGATGTGCCAGCAGCTAATTAGTGTAAGGCAGAGACAGCCTTTACCTGGGCAGCCTCTCCCATGCCTCCCCAATCAGACTGTGAAATCTCCGCAAAGTTAAGGTTGGACTTCAGTTCTAATCTTGAAAATTCAGATCCTTCCCTCATACATAAATCAGACTAGAAGTATCACTTGTAATGTAAAAGGTTACTGCCAACTGCAAAATGCAATTTAGAGAAACATTCAAGCCACCACTTTTTTCCCTGTATGTGCCAAATCTCCCATGTCCTTGAGGCAAAGGGCTGTGTCCTTGGTGAAATGCCATCTCCTCTGCCAGGTGGAACAGTAGCAAATCGGGGATAGAAGATTTCCAATGCCAAAAAGGCAGATTTGTCCATGTGGACAATCTTGTCCTAACAGCCTGACACTACTGTGATCTGACCTTGCTTACACGGGCACTTTGCTTTGCTTGTCCTGCTCCTTTTCCTCACAGATCCTGAGCACTACAGTACCAAGCTCACTGTGAAAAGTCTTGTTCTGTGACAGCAGAGGAGGGAGGAAATGGCACACAAGAGAAACTACAGCATGTCTAATTTTAGCTTGCCTCTATTTCTGACAGAATAACTTCAAAGGCAGCAAAAAAGTTCCACTCAGTCTGCTCCCATTAAAATCCATGACAGTTTCCCCATCAGCTTCAATAGGAGAACCTTATATTAGGAAAAGCATACATCATTGAATTCAGATAAAATACATGTAAGAGACAGAGCTGTGATGAAGGGGGTGTTTTCAATAGTGCTGTAGATACACATAGTGACTTACTCAACCTCCATCCTACTTGGCAGGGCTGTAGAAACCCAAAAGAATAGCACATCAGCAATGGAAAAAAAAAGGTAAAAGACAAGGAGAGAAACCCCCATGACTTATTGTGGTCAGTACTCACTGTGCAACTCCACTTGGCCCAGCTGCCTTTCCCCTAGAAGAACAAAAGCACAGCTGTGTAGGCGATACTTCCTTTTTTAACAGCTAAGTACCCCTCAATGCTTAGAGACCAACTATTACATCCCTCTGTTAGGGAAGGATAAAGCTGGAAACACTGCCTGTTACACATACTTGTATCCCACCTCATGTAAGCTGGGAGCCATCGTGTGACTACAGCCTGTGAGGAACCTCAAAGGCCCCCACCTGCGGCCAATGAGGCACATGGGGCAGAAAACAAGTTTAACCACACCACACAACTAAAAAGAGAAGCACAGGACTTGTTAAGTTTTGAAGGAGTATGATCACTATTCTGACAAACAATATGACTTCTACTACTAAACAGCTTTCCAGCCATAAGACCTGAAAATAATTAACTAAATGTAACCTGAAATGAAGGTAAGGTCAAGCTTGAACATGCCTTACAAACTGGAGAAAGTTGAATGTGGTCCCCGAATTAATCAGACAATGCTAGGGCAGGAAAGAAAGGAACCACAATCAACACGATAAACATACTTTAAAATGTGAATACAAAACTAAGGTTTGCTACTGTCAGACACTAAGGTGCGTGTGTGAATTCACACGTACAACTCATCTTTCCCATATTAAGAATGCTGTTAAATTGCCACTTTAAAATAGGTAGGCATTACAGGGAGAACAGAAGACACTGTCGTTGACTTGATGAAAGCCAGTAAGAATATCAAGACTTTTTAATAAGAAAAGTCTAAATGATTTAAATAGCACTTAAATGAGAATCAATGCCTCTACCATTTTATTCTTTATCCCTCTTACACTCATTAATGTCAGTCACTTCCCAGCCACAATAGCTTTGTGACCAAGGCCATCTACTGGTGAGTGGAGTGTGCAAATTAATGGGGTTTTTGTTGGCCAGATTTCATTACTGCTTGTCAAGATTTAGACACATGCACTGAAATTGTGCGAAGCAGCTGTTTACAGTTGAGCAGTGTCAGTAATTAGTAAACATGACCACAGTTTCGGATGAACAAATAAATAAATAAAGGCTTCCCAAACTCCACATGAACCTAAAGAAACATGAATTTGCCCAGGGGAGAAGAATGTGGTACTTTGAATCTCCATCCCCAGTTCAAGTGTAGTCCAGACACCTTGTGACCTCACTGTTCTATGTAACATGAATCAGAAATGTCAGCATTACTAATAGAGATATTAATTTTACCCTAAAAATCACTACCAGACCTGGTAACATTGTTTTCAAGAATTACTGGGGTCTGAATGAAGACGTTTGCAGGCTAAAACTGCAAATATTTTACATCAGTATATATGGGGATTTACACACTGTACACCAAAATTACAACTGTACTTGTCCTCCTGACTTAAGGCAACAGAAATGGAAGTCAGGCAAGGAGATGGAAGGGAAATAAAACATACCCAAATCCTCACACACTGTGATTTCTAAGGTGATGTCTGAGACAAATCAGTAAGAGAATTTGGGAGCACTAGCATGCTGCGACACAGAGATCCCCACACTGTTCTAGTGTTCCCCGTTCAACATCATTACTCCTAAATCATGAAGTTGTTTCTAATAAAACACTTTCTTTAGCTCTTTTTTAAAATTTGGTAACACTTAAGTTACTGTTATGATTTTGAGAGTAAGGTGTTTGAATGGCAGCACTGGAAATCCCTGAATTACAAGACAATATTCTCCTCCATCTTTGCCTTTAAGTCTTAGATCAAATTGAAGCAAACATAACCCTTTACTTGTTCTTTATGCCACGAGAATTTGGGACAATCTTTATAGTATATAGAAATGTATTCACTAGGAGCTAGCTTGAAGACACTAAATTCTTATCTTAGATAATAGGAGGTTTGGATAGATATATTTGGCTGGCAACGTAGAAACCAGAAGTTCCTGTTTTGCCTGAACAAGCAACATGGAAGAAAAGTATTTCCACAAGAAAAAATGTGGATGCCTAAGATGACAACGCCCTTCACTGACGTTCACTTCAGTATGATTAATTCCTATGATGATGAGATTTATGACAGAAAATTTATGGATGGCAGGTAAAAAGCAGGCAAAGCTTTCTGTAAACTTCAATGCCTTCTTCTTGAAGACGTACATTTATCCATTCCTTCAAGTTGGGTTTGGGGTTCTTTTGTGGGTTTTGGGGTTTTTTTTGGGTGGGGTAGTGGTGGGGATGATGTTTTTTTCTGAAGCCTATATTAGACTGTAAATCCAGTTTAATTATACCAGTTTTATTCACTGTGGAAGCAAACCACTTTCCAGTACAATAAAATTAGTAATTTATGTGCCTTTCCGATTTTTTTTTGGTGTAATAAGGCCATGGGTAGTTCTGCATCTGATGGAGATTTGTAGTCTCCAGGGTAATTTTTAAAATGAAGGTTAGAGGGGAAAAAACCACAAACATCCAACAGCTGCCCCCCTCCCCCCCCAACCCACAAGACAAACACAACTTTGGAAGAATAAAATAGCGCATGTAAATTTCCAGTGACTTTTTTTTTCAGCAAAACTGTGTTATCATCAATTCGGAGCATGTTCATATCAAGTCACAATTTTATAGTGAACAAAACAAGAAAATCTTTTTTCGTTATTAGTCATACAGAAGGATGTACTCTGCCTTTGCTTCCAAAAACGGAGCACTCACTAGTAAAAGGGCAATCCCTCATCAGTCATGACAGAGACTCCCGTTTTGATATATCCAATCAAACAAAAAAGATACTAATAAAGTAATCCAAATTAAAAATTAAGATATATCAGCATGTCTAGATAGACCTCTGTTACTTTAATGTGAAAGCAGACACTCCTGAATATAAAGATGGCTTCACTGGCTTTTGTCTTCTTTTGCTCCATAATAATGACTTCTCTTCTAAGTGCATCTGCACGCTTCACTAGTGTTCTACTTGTTTCTCTTGTTACTACATTAAATACTGCTGATTGATTGCAGCTTCTTGCAGCACATCATTCAGTGGCCAAACTGGACATGCTACCATTTAGCATCACTCCGGCAAATGGTCCACAGAATAATAAACATTTTTTGGTTTGCCTCAAACTTTTCCAGACTGACTGCATACAAAATGGCTATATATAATCTTAAATATAAAATTTTGTTTCTCCCCTGAAGACAAGGCTCTCTGTCATCACTGAACTTTGTCCAGAGGACAAATCACAAATTCTCCATTGTAAGGCCAGGCTGCTGCTGCTAAGGCAGAGCAAAGTATCGTTATTTTGCCAAGATTTGACATAAAAACTTATTGATAAGCTTTAAACATTCTTCTCATTAAATCACTGCATCAAAAGAGCTGAACTACGGAAAATTTAATTTCTACTTTTCAATCACAACTACTGTGAATCACAGTAATTACACTTATTTTACACTTTCAAAACACTGCACGAATCTCTACAACATGCCTGGGTAGAAAGTTAGTTTTATCTTTAAAGTTGAGATATAAACTCAATAAAAAAACCCTGTTATGATCTCCTGTTGATCTGCATATAAAAATCTCAAGCCACTTACACCAGGGATCTCATGTTCCAGAAACAGAGATAATCTAAGAATTGGGAAATTGTTAAGCTGCAACAACTGATTTTAATGATTTGCTCATTTCTTCAACAAGCATTTCAAACAGAGGACTTCATTTAGTTTCACTGTCAGGTCCTCTTTTAAATTCATGGTTTTGACTGATTTTTCTTTCATAAACCTCTAAACTTGGAATTGCCTGTATGTCATTGAATTGAAAGAAATGTTGTTCTTATTTTTCAAAAGATGTACATATATATATATATTTGACTCATTTTCCCAGTGCAATGCTAAAAGTTTTTTCTTCCTCCAATCCTGTACCAAGTACTGATAATGGCTCTAACTTTCTTAATCTCAAATATATTCAAAAGCAAGATTACCTCAAAATGAACTGCTGAGGCTAGACAATCTAAGAAGTCCATCTACCTCTATTTCATCTTGCGTATTATTCGGTTATATATTCTACAGTCCCTAGGGAAAAAAGAAACACATGAAAATAACTCAAAAGGGCCACCATCCATGAAAGTGTTGTTTGTCTTCAAGTAGTACCATTTCTTCTCAGAATGTAAGAAGTCGACATACCCGTAATACCGGCCTGCGTGAAACTGCGCTGTGTAAATGTCTGGATGGCAACGGATGAGCATTAGTACTAATTAAACCTGTACTAGCCTGTTCCAGGGAAAAGGCTTTATTGTAATGCTGCAGCATAGTGTGAGTTTCAGAAACAATTCTGGGAAATCAAACATACAAAACTCATCCCTCTTTTGGAGCAGAAGGCAGGAAGGGAAAAAAGAGACCAAGAAAAGCCTGATATTTGTTACATCGGAACATTTACAGTGGTACATAAAAAGACTGTAGAAGGCATTTATTCTAATAGCCTTGGATGTTCAATCCGTGTAATTGTCCAATCTGGTTTTGCTCCTTCTGTAAATTCCCTTTGGAACCTGGAAAAGGAAAGACAGTAAGTGAAGAGTTGTTAAAATTTACTTGATCCTTAAAGAGCTACTAACACCAGCAAGAAATCATGAAAAAATATTTTACTTCAAAGTTATTCCTGTAAAAGCTCCTTAGACTCTGATGCTTATGCCCCAAAATGGAAGATAGATCAAAATTAATTCTATAGTGAGAAAGAAAAGTGCACTGACTTCCGAGTGTTTTGGTTCAGATCTCACAGACAGCATCAAGCAGCAACAGTAAAGACCCTGATATCAAGAACGCATTCAGTTTTCATAGCAGTAACTATGAATATAGCTTTGTGGCAGATCTTCATCTCTAAATAAAGGGTTTCATTTAATGGGATGGTAACTGCATTGTAAAGGGAAATCACATGCTACGCATCCTACCTGAGAATTTTCATTTTTACTGAACTGTACTTTAAAAAGTAATATATTTTCAGAAATACATCAAAGATAAAGCTAACAGTAGTACTGAAACTCCTGAAAGAAAATTCCACAGTTGTTGATAGGAAAATGAAAACGTCCATCCCTATTTTCACAGAATCTTCCTCTTCCTTTTGTGGTCAATAATGCCTTCCTCCCTGAGCATGTCAGTTTTGACTGCTTATCATATAAAGATAAGTCTGAGCTTCAAGCTGAATATTCATGATCCCAAGCAACCTGCATATTGCGGGCAAGAGCAGTATAACCTCATTGCTTTGCAGTTACATGCAAATCCACTCCTAGAAACTGTCTTCTCCAGACACCCAAGTACTTAACACTAGGCTTCCAAGGCGTGTAGTATCTTTGCCCGTTTGAGTTTAGGGTAGCACTGTAAATAGCAGAAGGAACGCATACTTGCAAAGATCCCTCTGCTGGGGATTAGGAACAGATACTTAGAGCTTTAAGGGGAGGCTCTTGAGGATAATGGAGCCTCAGAAGCCTCCAACTCTAAAAAAGATGCTGAATTCGGCTAAGGGATGGATCCACAAAAATCCATCCAGGCAAAAAGCACTGCTGTCCTCAGAATGTTTCCTTTGTTTCAGAGCTCCTGATCATCTAGACCCCATAGTCTCTTCATTGCAAACATGGGTGTAGAAGTCATTGATTATATTGCATTTCTCTCACAAAAATCCTCACTTTTTCCAACTTCTGAGAATGTTATTTCCAGGTACATTTTGCCAACTGTGCAGATATTTCTGCACTGCTCTGAGATCAGTACACTAATAGAGACCTTACAAGCATTTCTATGAAAATCCATCTACCTAACGTGTGCTTTGACGGCTTGGATCAGTGTGGCATGAATTATCTGAACACCAGGTGATGCCTGCTTTGTTCTGCCTTTCTGCAGAAAGCATTTGCCTAAAAAATTTCCTCTTTCGTGAGCTACTTTTTCAGCTAATTGCTGTTCTGACTTTTATGTGGGAAGTGACAAGTCAACAGCACCACACTTGACTGTTTGGCTTGACTGCATTGCTGTTAGCTGTGCTACAAGAAATGGGAAACAAGGGCTGATATTTCCTGAAAGCTGCAGCAGTATAGGAAAGGATCAAAAACCTCATTCAATGCCCCAACTATTGCTCTTCCTGACAGAGAAAGAATTCCCATTAATCTCAGCTCAGAAGCAAGGTAATAACATAATGACTTTAAGGGGTGTTTAAAAAATTTGGCCCTAGAATAAAAACTGGAAAGCTGGATGAGAACTGAGATTAGAATCAAGGTAAATTAAAACATACCAAGTTCTGCACAGGCACAGCGTGAATGCTTTCAGTTCCCAAACTGCTTTCCACACAGCTAGCCCATGTACATGAAGAAAAAAAAAAAGGACAAGTAAACTTACTCATAGTTTGCTGTTAAAAGATGTCTTTTTTCTTTTGTGCTTTCATCTCCAAACACAATCTGGAAAACTTTGGTTTCACCTGGTACTTCATCAGGTAGGTTAGCACCATTCAGATACCAGAAACGCATCAGAATACTAACAAACTTCCTTCCTGTTGGAAATAAATCAAAGCATAAAGTAGATCTCATTTTTCTCATTCGTCAAATACTCCTATTTGCTATCTAGCATATATTCTAGTGAGAGCCTGGAAGGGCAGCTGACTTCAGCCATGAAGAATGCATGATAGAATAATGAACAATAAAGCTATTTAAAGCCACATTCATGCTGTTTAGCAACAATAAAAATACACTCTGCAGAAAGGTAAGTATTTTATCATGACTGTTGCATGACATCATACATAATCAAACCGTATAAAGAAAAGCTGGTTACCACAAGGTCCAAAGGCTATTACTGATACTACAAAATTATGTCAAGTAGTTGAAACTCAGAAGCAAACTAAGAGGGAAAAAAAATGCCTATCCTCCAAAATAGGAAAAAAGCTCACTGGGTCTGACAATTTGAAATGCTTATTGGCAGACCCATGGTTAGACTTAGTTAAACCATCTCAACTGTGTCTGATAGTGAACTGAGCACATTATGCTGGTATTTAACCAAAAGAAAAACTTGTTTGAGCTCATCACCAGCTTAAAAAAAAAAAAAAAAAAAAATCAAGAAGTCCTAGAACAAAGTATATTCCATGAAAGCGGAATAGAAGTGAAGACAGCAAAATTTGTTTCATTATCCAGCCTTCACTATTCTTCTTGGAAGATGTATTTTCATTGCTGAAACAACAGCTTTCTGCATATAGTAGAGTTGTTTTGGAGTGGTTTGAGATTGCTAAGGACTAATAATTTAAAAATCTGAAATTACAAAAAGACCTAAACAGATGTCAAAACAGTACTATGACTTATTAACAATAATCTCTCAGGTTCTGGTTTAAAAGGAAATCAGGAAATTATATATAGATGAACTATAAACAGAAGAACAAGGAATGAGAAACAGTACTCAAAAACACATCTGTAAGGAGAATGTCTGCTTAGTAGCAAAACCAGGAAGTAAGACTGCCCATTGCTGAAATGTTTTAGAATTCTAAACATACCATCATCATCATAGTAAATGCGAACATCTCCTTCTGTTGTGTACATGATTGCGTCAATGTCAGCTGCTAAAGCATCCCTGTGGTTTTCAGGGAGCAAAGAAATCTTTTCCTTCAGCACCTGAAGTACCTAAATTCAGAAAAACTGTGAGTTTTTTGTTAGGAAATTGAAGTAACAATCTTTTCTACTGCAGTTAATAAAATGAGCTCTACCGCTAAAACATTTGTATAACATATACAACAGCAGAAGTGAAAAAGCATTGGGAAGTTTCGGCACTCCCAAACCCTAACTCAGCGATATTAAAGAAGATCCATTTAATGCTCAAACCAATGAAAACAAAGTATTTAAAAAAATGTTTAGAAAAGATACTGTCAAAACAGAGGCATGTAAGCCCAGAAAATACCAGTTAAGCTTGCTTCCGCAATCATACTTACACTCTGCCTTCTCACTGCTGATTTCTTGCTATGTGTATATTCCTTAGCTTTTCATTAAATTATTTCTTAGTTATCTTTCACAAATTTCTTTGAAAATCAGTTCCATTACCACTAAGTTTATCTTTGTTGTTTTGTGATCCGCATTCCCATTAGAAAAAGTTTAAACACTTGCCAATCAGAAAAGACTGAAAAATCATTGCTTTGGGACTTAAGTTCCATACTGCATTCACATCCATAGTATTTGAGTGTCCTAAGACCTACACAGCTGTGTTAAGTAGAAAAAGGGTGTGGCGCATGAAGTGAACAGAGGCATCACCTCAAACACCACATGAGGAAGACACGTCACAAGGAAGGATGAAGCTGTGCAGCACTTATTTTTCACTCATACCCAGTTTTTAGTCTAACTTAAATTGCCATTTTTGAATAACAAACAATTCCAGAGGTCACATGGAAGCAAGAGGTGATCTTCACTAGAAGATGTTGTTTTCTAGTACATTTTGCCAGTATAAAATTCACTGGCCAAAGCAATAACAAAGTAGTGTGGTATCACAGCCTCATCCACCACATTCTCTGGTTACATAAGGTCCCTGGATCAATGTTAACCCAATCACCTGAAGACTTTAAGATGAGCAGAGGAAGAGGAGATGCTCTTTCAAAACTACAAGAAACAAACTCACATTTTATTGCTATCTCTGCTCAGACAGAGGAGGCAAGATTGTCCAGTGGGGATGCACTAGAACAGCACCAAATTTTTTGCTGCAAAGGCATGGCTGGCAATAGGGCAGGCCAAGCTGACAGCCAGTAAGAAGGCAGACATAGACCTGAAGTATCTCCTCCACTTGACTCTGATGCATCTGCTACCTCCGTCCCCTGGGAAGGTCAAGACAACTTCAGCAATTAAAAATTCATAAAAACACAGAACACACAGCACCGATGTTTAACTAGTCAGGTCAGCCATATCCCTGAGACCATGACACAGGGCTGAGGCCTTCCAGCCGAAACCAGTAACTGGCTGTATGATCTGCGTGGGGGTGGGAATGTATGAGTGCAGCAGGGATGAGCACAAACCAGTTCCTTTCTTCATCGGAATTCTGGTACACAGACCGAAAGTGTCAGCTATCTGCCTACACCAACAGAGGTGGGCAATTCTGCCTGCCATCCAGCACCCACCGCCTTTCAATCCTTTCTGGAACACCAGCAATCTTTTTGGCAATTGGTCCTTATGCTCAATGGCAAGAATATTTTTTTTTTTTTAAATACAGTAACTTTAACTTAAGTTTCATGCCTTGAAATAAAAAAAAAAAAAAAAGCTGCAGAACAAACAATTGCCCTGTTCTGCATTATGCTGTTTTTCCCAAATTAAACCAAACTGGCAGTATTTGTAGGTAATGACAGGCCGAATGCACGTTGCTTCATAATGAAAAATCAATTGCTAGAATAAAAGATGGAAAGCATTTACCTCTGCTGATACAAGTTCATCCAGCAGGTCAAGTTTACGCTGAGACAGTAGCTTTGAAACAACAGAAAAGGCCTATCAAAAATTAAAAAAAAAAAGAGAGAAATACATGAACAAATAACACTAGGTTGGCTTATTTTTCAGACAAATCCATCATTATGCGACAAGCTACCCAAATATTCCATGATGTAAGATTTCAATGTTTGCAGAGTATATCACCATTGAAATGGAAGCCCTCCAGCATTAAAAAAGTGATTCCATGAACTGATAAAAACATACTTTTTATCAGTTTCTTTTCAGTCTCTCATTTAAAGCATCAAACCTTTTGATAACAGGCAAGTGAATGCATAGCTTACTAAAAAACAGCACTACAGTAAACTATATAAGTTGTTTTTACTCTCTCTTTGATAATTGAAACAGTCTATGTCTTTCTCTGAAAATATTTTTTCCCCTTCCCCTTTTCGCAGCTCACCTCCTGTTTCAGTCAAAACAGAAGCTCCAGTTTATAAAATTTCTGTATAAATCTGGATTAGTCTCTAAACCTCTCCTTTTCCCCTCAATTTTGCAGGTATAGTTACATACAATAATGCCTCTATATATTCAAGTAGTGTGCTTGTGAAATGCCGACGGTGTGTTTAGGACTCTACAGCAAGTAAAAACAAACAAAAAAAACAGGGCAAGGTAAAACAGGTGGTTCTGCACACATAGCAACTAATTTGGTGTAGGTTTTTTTGGTCTCTCTTGAATTGATCTTAAGCATTCTAACATTCTCTCCCCTACCACCCAGTGGGTTGTTTTGGGTCGTTTTTTTTTTGTTTAAATTAAATATAATAACTGAAGTTCAACAGCAGGTAACTGTAATTTTTACATGATTAGCTTTGAGATCACTACCTCTTTGATGCATTCTGCTGACAAATCCTATTGGCTTCATAAATTTGGAGAAACAAATATGTGCATCAGCTCTACGCCTGCCTAAGCTTTGTCATTTTAGGAAAACCAGCTAAGAGAAGATTCATTTCCCCTTAAAGAACACGTGGAAGCACCCTTCTTCATAGTACTTAGGGGGACGACTCATTTTAATTCTGGAATCTGGGAAAAGAAAACAAGAAAAGCCTGAAGAAGCGTGCACCCCCGATTATTCTCCCTTCCTCCAGAAGCGAGGTACCTGGAGCCAAAACCGGGGAACCCGAGTTTCCACACACGAGTTTCGGAGAACGCGACGATGTCCGCATGTGAAGTCAAACCCGGGCAGCGGCAGCCCCCCCGGGAGGCT